TTTGGTATGGTTAATTTTAGAAAAAAATTGTATGATTAGTTGTTATAATTGTATTTTGAGTTTATATTAAAATAATATTTTAAATAAAATAATTAAAGTTGATTTGATGTAAAAATATGAGAGAGATGATGTGAAGTGATGGTCACTTAAATTTATGTGAGTAAATGAATAATAAATTAAAGTTGATGTAATGTGTAATAACGATTGAGTGATATTATTTAATTATATTGATAGTATTGAGGATAGTAAAATTGATTTAAATTTAAATTAGATTTAAATTAAATAAGTGATTGATGATAGATTTTTTTAAAAAAATTGTATCCAAGCACTATAATTTAGTGATTAATATAACGTCTAACAACAAACAGAAAAAAAATATTTGAATAGACAACCACCCCCCGCCAGACAAGTGCAGCGTGTAAGTGGTGGCGCCCAATTGCCTATCGCCCACCACCATTTCTACTCCACGCGCTCGTGCCCCGCGTGTGCTAACAACTCCCACAAAATTGATTTACCAAAACTACTAATATTCGTACTTGTGCACATGCACAGAGACAAATAAAAATTTATATTCTATATGTATGTATACAATATTTAAAATTTTAAATTAGATAATTAATGTATTACATTTTAAAATTTTTGACTATACACAAATATACAATATAAATATAAATTATTTAACTTGCATTTGAATCTTTATATTGATGACATAAATTTTAATGAACAATATAATTTTGTAGTTTAGAAAGACATACGATTAATTAGTTAGAAAAAGTATTACAACTATTTTTAGTGTTATTATAGTAATTAGTTATGTAATTTTAAGGAGTTTAATTATAACACTCATGTCAGTTAACTAATATTAGAGAAAAACCACTTAATAAGACGAAAAATAATATTTATTATAGAATAATTATCTTAATAAAATAAATTGGAATACAATTTTTATAAGTATGTAACTTTCACATATTACTAGTATTCGATCCTGTGCACATGCACAGAGAAAAATAAAAATTTATATATTATATGTACGTATATGATATTTAAAAATTTAATTAGATAAAATGTGTATTACATTTTAAAATTTTGAGTATATGTAAATGTATAATATAAATATAAATTAATTAACATTCATATAAATCAATTTTTTTTATTTTTTTTTTGTATAACTATAAAACATAATAGGAATATTAGCTGTAAAATAATTTAATATTGTATATTCAGAAAATTTAAAATCTTGTAAAACTGTTACAAAATAAAAAATTAATGATAATAAAGTTTTACTTGTGTAACTGTCATTTGAATGTTGGTCATAAAGATATTTATTAAATGAAGTTCTATTTTTGTTAATTGCTGAGTGAATAAAATTTATTGTCATAAAGATTTTTATTAAATGAAGTTCTATTTTTATTAATTGCTGGCTGAATAAAATTTATTGAAGCTTGCCAGCAATTATATATACTAGTAATCAACCTGTGCATTTGCACAGAGAAGAATACTTAAAAAAAAAATAACAATATAAAAAAAATCATAATTTAATTCATGAAAAAATATGAATTAAGAAAATAATTTTCAAAATTGATTTTGATCAAGTAATTGCTTTGGAAGAGCCGTTACAACCATTTTCTTTATGCTAATACATCCGGCCATTTTCATGAGTGTGTGTGACTTAAAATTTGAGTACAATTTTGTAACTCCTTTGATTGGTTTATGCTCATAATTTATGGCATTCAAACAAGTTATTTTGTAACTTAAAAATGAAATTGAAATTTTGGAGGGATAATAAAATTTATTGCATGATAATATAATTAAATGCTATGTTGCTCCTCTTTATATATACTAGTAATCAACCTGCGCATTTGCACAGATACAAATTCTTAGAAAAGAAAATAAGAAACTAAGAGAAACAAAAATACTAAATCATAATTTAATTCAAGAAAAAATGTTAATTAAGAAAAGAATTCTAAATATTATTAAAAAATATTTTATATACAACATTTATATTCTATATACAATATTTTAATATAACGCCATAGAAAATTTGACATCTCTTGATCATTAGGTAATGCTGTTTAGTTAAATGACATTAGTAACATAATATTGCACTATAACATTTGGATTGAGAATAAGAAAAAATATATAAAATTAGAATATGGCAACATGATAATGAGATATATTGGTGTTTTAAATATAATTCGTTATTAATGATTTATACTATTAGATATATTATTTTTTCTTGTAGGTGGATATATATATATTGAAATAGATGACTGGATATTTTTAATTTTATTTCTTAATTATTTGATTTTGTAATTTTGGAATCTGAATTATTGTGTGAATCATTTTTACGTACTCAAGCATAAACAAATTGAATATATATATATATATATATATATATATATATATATATAATATACATATATAAATAATTATTTTATTACATTCATTCAACAAATAAGTAAAGTGAAAAGAAAATAGGCATGAATCCTATCACATCATATCGAAGAATGAGCATTACATCATTTTGGAATCTGAATTATTGTATAAAATTATTTTTATGTAACCAAAATAAATGAAATTTGAAAAGGAAATAAGTATGAATTCTTCCAGCGTTCAGATCAAATCATGATTGTTACATAACGTGATTGATGGAGAAGGGGTGATAAAAAATGTTACACAATTGAGATGAGTAAAGAAAAAAAGAAAATAAATAAATTAAATATTTTGTAACCGATTTTGAAGGAAAAGTAAAATAATATTATTAATTGTGTTGCTCCTCTTTATATATATATAGATATAGATGTGAAAACTAATAAAATAAAATTGAATGCTGAATGTAATAGTTTTAGGTGATATGTGAAAACTAATAAAATTGAATGTTGAAAATTTTAGAGGGATAATAAAATTTAATGCAGAAAACTAATAAAATTGAATGTTTTGGAGGGATAATAAAATTTAATGCATGATAATATAATTGAATGCTTTGTTGCTCCTCTTTATATATGTATATATATAAATATAGATTTAATGTAAATATTAGTAGTAATTATTACATAATAAATTAGTTTAAATTATGATTACACTTCATTAATTATAATGTAAAAGTTCCACATTAATTGAAAAAAATAAAAGTTTTTGAGCGAAAAAAAGATAGATCAAGCATCATTGACGGTTACTTGATGATCTAACAGTTACAATCCCAATGGAATGGTTCCGTAACGGGATTGTAGCATTTTCCATAGATTTAATCGCCGGTTGCAAAAACCGAATGCTTGTCCTTTTAATTTCGTCAAATATTCAAACTCCAATTTCTCGTTGCCCCAAAATACACAGACAAGACCACTGAATTCGATTATCGACGAAAATTCATTCTCATCATATGCATGATGTGTGAAATATTTCTCTAATAATCCAATCTGCATACGCACATTCACTCTCTCTGTGATTTTGTTCAATTGTTAATGTGCTCTGGATCTCATAAACACGTACATACGGGCGGACGTTTATAGAGCACGAGCCATACTGATCCTGCTGCGATTGGCTCAATCAACTCTGCCCGATCTGGGTTTTTTTCATTCAGCTCTCTACTCTTCAATTGACCAGGTACAAATTCACCTGTGCTACTATGCATTCATTTTGGTCTCGGCTGCCAGAAGAGTGATTGTGTCTAATGCTGTCAATGGAGATGACACGTTTTGTGTGTGTTCGTCACTACTTCGTCGTGTGCTCTTGAGTGTCGCTTGATTTGTTTTGTGCGGTTGATTGGGTATTGTGTTGGGTAGGTTTCTGGTGAGTTTGTTCCTGGATTTGAGCTGTAATGTAGTGTCCAACAATGGATGCGATTTGGGTCGAGCTTGGTTTGTGATTTCATTGCAGCTTATGGTTTCCCAGGGTTTCGTTTCGGCTGTTCTAGCCTCTAGGCAATGATTTTGTGGGTTGTGGCATGTTGGGGAGAACCTGAGAATTTTGAGTCCCCCAATGGGTTGTATTATGTTTGCTACTGCTTGTTGGTTGTTCGATCCCAATTTCTTGCAGCTCATTGGTTTAACCATATGGATTTAAAGTTCTGGCATGGGTATGAAATCTTTATATCCTACTTTTCCCTTTTCTCTCATGTATTGCTCATTTGTCATGGTGAAGTGTTGATAAAAGTGATTCTGTAGGTAGATTTAAATGTTTTTGTATTGTTGTTTACTAGACTAAAATGAATCTTGATTTTCAATTATGACCCTACATGCACAGTCTACACGTATTCACTTCAGATTTGAGCTATAATAATCAGTTCTGTTTCTGGTGTTTAAGATCAATTTGTGTCTTTAAAGCATTTGAACTCAAGAGTACTTTTGCCAAATAAGTATTCGTTCATTTGAACTCATTTTCCTTGGTTATTCCGAATGTGACTCTCATTTCATTTTGAGATTGTCTTGAAAGTTAAAACTGTGATAGTTCATCGGGCTACGAGTCATCATGCCAGCTGGACATATATGTATATAATCTATATCTTCTGAACGTTTAGATTCTTACTGGATCTAGTGTTTCAGGGTCAGCTTTAGGAGAGCGTTACTTCGGTGCACTATGAATGCATGACAAGTCGTGGTACAGGATTTTTCAGGAATTGACTTGTGATGCATTGTCTTTAGATGAAATCATCTCAGGCTTGGAATTTAGGCATGAAGGACGTACAAACATTAATACCCAGCCACCGTAGTCATTTAAAGAAGCCAACATGGATTATCGTATTGGTTTTATTAGTTTGCTTCTTTCTAGTTTGTGCGTATGTTTATCCACCTCACAATTCTGCGGCATGCTACGTATTCTCTCTAATGGTTGCGAGGCGATACAAAATTAGCTTCCTTCTGCGCCTGCCAGAGAACTGAATGATGATGAAATCGCTTCTCCTGTCGTAATAAGAGATATACTGACAACTCCTCCTGTTATATCAACACAACCCAGAATTGCATTCTTGCTTCTGACTCCGGGTGCTTTACCATTTAAGAGATGGGATAATTTTTTTCAGGTACTTTGTTCTCTCTCCCTCTACCCCCTCTTTCTCTCTCTCTCTCTCTCTCTCTCTCTCTCTCTCTCTCCCCCTTCCTCTCTCTTTCTCTCATTCTAAAATACTGTTTTGGAAGATAAAGATCTTCTGCAGTTCTGTTCAGAGAATTTTTGGTGGAAGCATTTGCAATCTCATTGATGTGACATGTAGCTTTATTTTGAGTAATGTCGAGGCTAACATGTCAAACTGTTATCACAACTGGCCTCACCTATTCTAAATGCATATGGTTTAAATTGAATAGCTTCTGCAGCATGAAATTGCACTAATATTTCATAAGTTCATCAAAATTTGATTATCATGTAGTTTTACATAAAATCATTTACATCTATGTTCTGCGTATGCTGGGTGGAAGCATGTTATGGGCAAATCATTAGATCGGGATGCAATTCTAGAGATGGCAAGGATGATAGAATTTGATGTGTCATACGAAAAGCACAAGTAAAATAGTTTTAAGGGAAGACTGGATGCAATTTTAAAGATCGCTGGGTTGATGGCAAGAACATTTTGTGAATTGCATGAAGGAACACTCTTCTGTTTAATTTATTAACATGGTTAAGCGCTCTAATATGTATCTTTCAAGGGTGTCGAAACTTTTAACTAATCGAAGACATAATTTTCCTCAAATTTCCCTTCATACGACAGGGTCATGAAGGTAAATTTTTTGTATGCGTGCAAGCATCCAAGGATAAACCTGTTCATTTCAGCCATTACTTTCTCAATCGGGAAATTTGCAGTGATGAGGTTCATTCCAATTCTTTTACTTGGTCCTATTTATTGTGATTGGGCAAATGATTATCAATTACTCTTCCTTGGTTTTTGTAATGTTATGCCCATTTATTGTAATTGAGTCATTGACCTTTGACATTTGAGTTTATGCATAGTGTCATAGCATGTTCGATTTATTCTGAATACCTATCTTCTCTTACAAATTATCATGATTGATGTGCTGCGGATTGATGTTTGTAAAGTACACTATCTATCTGTATTTGTAACAGGGTGAAAAATGAGAAGCTTTGGTTGTTTGTCTCGGTCCTTTTCTTTCTGTCCTTTGTGATTTTATTTATTTGTATTTCATGTCGGTCAAGTTCACTATTTCCTTAATTATTGTCATGGTTGTACATCGTCAGGTCAAAAGCTAGTGAACCCTGCAACTGTGAGTAGATTGGAACTCATTAGTTTAATTTTATATAAATGATTGTTAATTCTCAATTGTAGGTAACGTGGGGAAAACTCTCAATGGTAAATGCAGAAGGACGGCTTTTAGGTAATGCACTTAAAGATCCTGACAACCAGCATTTCGTACTACTTTCTGACAGGTCCTTATGGAATCACTTTTTGTTGAGTTCTTTCTTTTTTGAGGCCAAATTCACGCAAACAACAGAGATACTAATTGTTCAATTTTATTGCAGCTGTGTTCCTCTTCGTAATTTTGATTATGCGTACAACTATCTCATGTACACGAACGTCAGCTTTGTAGATTGGTAAGTGCACCTTTTTTTTTTTTTTCTATTTCTTNCCTTTTTTTTTTTTTCTATTTCTTCGTGGCTAATGTTTTTATAGCCTCAACCCTGAGGGCTAAAACGTATGTAATAATTAGCAGAATCTTTCGCATATAAAGTTTGAATATTGAAACAACTCAAATAAAGAACTGATGCTTAGATGATCGCTCAATTTCTCTTTTATTTCTAACTACATATAGTGCAACTACTAACAGTATTATAGCTATTTTAAATATGCACAATAATGACAGTAAACTTGTCGTTAAGAGTGCAAAATAAATTAATGGTTTAGATTTTAGAATATAATCTCTTTAGATTTTCATGGAAATGGAAAGCATCATATTTGTACACTACAACGTATTCAATTAGCATTGGTTTATATATGACACGTGATTATTAATAAATGTGATGTATAAGCATTGATCAGATTTTCTGCAGCTTTGAGGATCCTGGTCCACATGGAAGTGGAAGGCATATTCAACATATGTTACCTGAAGTCGAGAAGAGAGATTTTCAAAAGGGTTCACAGGTGTGTTTTTATAATTATAAACCCTGCAGTAATTTGCAGTTCGGACACTATTGCAAGGTGATCAAGGTTTCATCTATACATATACATTTTATTTTTTTTGGCAATTTTTAGCTTCCTTTCATTTCACAGTTCTTACTTACCTTTTATTACTAGATATTTGTGGACTTAATCAGTTGAAGTCCTTGTCAAATTTGTGGTTTTTTATAAAACTCTGTTTTGAGCAAGTACAAGCACTTTAATATACTCCTAAAAATTTGCACTCAAGAAAAGCAGGACAGTTTATTGTGATTAGTTTGTAGGTTCTACTTTCTTAAAAAAAAAAAAAGTAACTTAGATATAATTTTTTATCTAGTGTTTTAAAGATCACATATTACATTATGACTCAAGTACCATTACCGTGTGTATTTCTGATTTAACAGCCGAGAATGGAAGGAGGATGCAACTGTTACTTTGATGAACACTATCTGCCCACATTTTTCTATGTGAGAAATTTTTGCGTTTCATATTTTTAAGCAGCCCACCGTTTAATGTGAGAAATTTTTGTGTATGATGTTTTCATATTTTTTTTTTTTGTTATCTAGAATCGTGCCTCGCCATTTTCAGATGCTTGATCCAGCTGGGATAGCTAATTGGTCCATAACACATGTCGATTGGTCTGAAATGAAGTGGCATCCAAAGTCATACCGGCTGCAGGATGTTACATTAGGGCTGATTAAAAGTATTACAGTACGTCTACAAACTTCTACATCTAGGCTGTGACCAAGTAATTTATATTTTACAAAGAACCGATCTTTCTATTCGACACATTGAACCATATTAACTACAATGTAAAATAAAGGAATTGTGTTCGCATAATAAATAAACTGCAAATATTCACTTGACTAAAACATGAATCTCATTCAAAATGGTATTGTCAGAAACTGAAAGTCGAGCTTTTACGGTATGCCCTAACACACATACCTTTTCTTCTTCCAGATAGTTATCCTCGTGTCACCTTATTTCTTGAGGACCTCGAACACCTCTTTCTAGAGTACGTCTAAGGGTACATACTTCCCATACTTGTACCTCACTTTATTGCGTTCTTCTGACCTCGAGTCTTTGTTGGAAGACCTCTTGTCATCTGAGAAAGGTCTCTCATCTCTTCGCTTAACCTTGATCTTGTCACAATGCCGAAAATTGGCCTCCTCTTTCAATGTTGATGTACTTATTGCAACTGGACAACATCTAGTCAAAGGACCTCGTCGGTCTCTTTGACAATGAATTTCTGCATGGACGTGGTTGGAGACCCCTTGTAAGACCTCATGCCCTGATCTCCTCGAAGACTGAAGGAGGTACACTCGCGGTATATTGAGCTACGCACTCTCGGAGAGTCTCCCCTTCTTTTTGCTACATGTTGATCAAGGTTAGGTAGGTCTTCTCATGCTTTCTCGCGCTGGAGAACTTGTTGATAAATTAAGAGCTCATCCTCTGAAAACTCTAAGTCGATCTGGCCAGAAACTGATGGAACCAATCATGTGCCGACCCCTTTGATGTAGTCAAGAATTCCCTGCAGCACACTGCATTGCTTCGCTATAACGGTGCAGGACCACTATGTTCTTGAAAGATCTAAGATTTCTGGATGCATCAGTTGAGCCATCATAAGACAAGCGTAGCTCTAAAAAATTGTGTGGCAAATTGGCCTCTAGAACCTCCTACGCAAACGGGTGACCGTGAATTCGAGGTGCTACCCTGCCCTTTACACGGGCTTGTAGCTCCCTCACCTAGACTTCCTACCTCTCAAGAGTAGCGTCCCTAATTGGTCTTGATACAGTAGTCGGTGATGATATTGACCTCACGTCTACCTCCTCCATCCTTCTTTGTGGTTGTGGCTGCGGTACTACCTGATTTTCCTGGTCGGGCGCCTGAGCTAGTGCCATCGACTCAGCCATAATCGGGTCCAGCTCCGCCTTAGTGAGCTGAATGACTTGGTCTCCCCTCGAGACTTCTCTGCTCTCTGGGATTCTGTAGCTGCCCATCCATCTGCTCATGAGGTTGATTAACCTTTGGATCGTTCTGATGTTGAACTCCACCTCCCCTGCTACTACTTGTCTGAGATTATCAGACAAATGAACGTATTATCGGAATTTTTCATATTAAGTCTCCCTCCAAGAGTGGGGTTATTCAATAAAAATTCTTTGCGCAACTCCTTATTTTTATTTCTAATTTCAAATGTGTATTAAAAATAAGAATAAATTGGACAAAAATTAGATACGTAAATAGTGTATTTTTACTCTTTAAAGGTTAACGTTACCATCATTAGTAAAGCTGATCTCAACTAGGGCTCAAGCCGAGCCGAGTCGAACATTGACCTTATCGAGTCGGATTGAATTATTTTTTTTTGTGCTGTTCGAGCTCGTCGAGCTCGACTCGATAAAAAATTACAATGGCTCGAGCTCGGCTCGAGTTCGGCTTGAAAAATTTAAGTGAAAAAGTAAAATTACATTATAATATATAAGGGGTATTTTAGTAACTTCACATATATTTCGAGCCGTTCGACAATGCAAAATATGAGCTAGAGCTCAACTCGAGTTCGTGCTCGAACCGCTCAAGCTCGACTCGAGTTCGGTTCATGAGCTCGAGTCAGAGCTTTGACTCGGACGCTCGCGAACGGCTCGCGAGCCGCTCGATTCGTTTGCAGTCATAGTCTCAACTATTAACTATAGTATGATACCATCAATATTTTGTAAGTTCAGTATAAATAAAATAAGTCTTCTCCAATATCTATATCTTTTTATTCTTTTCAAAATGTTGAAAAGGTTTTCCGGAAGAGCTAATTATTTACATATGAAAAAGGAATGAATTAGATGTAACCGTGTCATCTTTTGTTTCATTATATATGATATGATAATAATTCTACATGTCACGTCTTGTATAATTTGACATATCATAGCTTAATTTTCTTTTATAAAAACAAACTTGCCTTAGAAAAAAGTTATCAGACATATAAAATTCCACCAAATTATATAAATACATATAAACAACGTACCAATCTAGAGACCCCGCTATGATTGGAAGATAGGGTATCATTTTGTAGTTTGACTGACTTTTTAATAGAAAATGAGAAGACGAGTAATAAAACAACACGCAAGTTAGTTTTTTTCCCAAAAAACTAAAAATTAACAAATTACACGCAATTTCCACGTCACTTGGATATGCTCTGAATATTTCTCATATTCTTCCTTGTTTATTTTTATTTTATTTTATCATTTTACCCCTGACTATTAACAGTTGAGTCGTCGAACATTGATTCTTGCTGTCCACATAAAGTGATAAAAAGTGAAATAATAATAAGGAAAATCGTGATGAAAGAGACGAGGATAATTGTGGCAGTAAAAATATCACAAATACCATATAGTATTTTTAATCAATTCATATGCTTATAATGTGAAGTATTACGTTTTAATGTATGATATTCGAGTATAAAAACATAAATAAATATTTAATGGTTGCATTACAGTAGTTCAGGCAAATTCACGCTCGAGTAGTTGAGTACATCTGAATTTGATCTCATGGAAATTTAAAAAGAAAAATAAATTATCAAATTCAGGAAGCAAAATTAGGTTACAGGATATAGTCGATTGGGTAATGGGGAGAAATAATCATTGTGTGGAAGAAAATGAAATAAAATGGGGAGAAACCACATTTGACTTTGACATATAGTTATCCACGAATCCACCCAATGGCATGAATGGTTGGACCATATTGCATCATGAT